GGCTCTATACACCACCACAATGGATTTGAAATGAAATGAACAAGATGTGCTTTAACTGCAGACTGTCAGCTTTAATTTGAGGGTGTTTACATCCAAATCAGGTGAATGGTGTAGGAATTACAACAGTTTGCATATGTGCCTCCCACTTGTTAAGAGACCAAAAGTAATGGGACAGAATAATAATCATAAATCAAACTTTCACTTTTTAATACTTGGTTGCAAATCCTTTGCAGTCAATTACAGCCTGAAGTCTGGAACGCATAGACATCACCAGACGCTGGGTTTCATCCCTGGTGATGCTCTGCCAGGCCTCTACTGCAACTGTCTTCAGTTCCTGCTTGTTCTTGGGGCATTTTCCCTTCAGTTTTGTCTTCAGCAAGTGAAATGCATGCTCAATCGGATTCAGGTCCGGTGATTGACTTGGCCATTGGATAGCATTCCACTTCTTTCCTTTAAATAACTCTTTGGTTGCTTTTGCAGTATGCTTTGGGTCATTGTCCATCTGCACTGTGAAGCGGCGTCCAATGAGTTCTGAAGCATTTGGCTGAATATGAGCAGAGAATATTGCCCGAAACACTTCAGAATTCATCCTGCTGCTTTTGTCAGCAGTCACATCATCAATAAATACAAGAGAACCAGTTCCATTGGCAGCCATACATGCCCACGCCATGACACTACCACCACCATGCTTCACTGATGAGGTGGTATGCTTAGGATCATGAGCAATTCCTTTCCTTCTCCATACTCTTCTCTTCCCATCACTCTGGTACAAGTTGATATTGGTCTCATCTGTCCGTAGGATGTTGTTCCAGAACTGTGAAGGCTTTTTTAGATGTCGTTTGGCAAACTAATCTGGCCTTCCTGTTTTTGAGGCTCACCAATGGTTTACATCTTGTGGTGAACCCTCTGTATTCACTCTGGTGAAGTCTTCTCTTGATTGTTGACTTTGACACACATACACCTACCTTCTGGAGAGTGTTCTTGATCTGGCCAACTGTTGTAAAGGGTGTTTTCTTCACCATGGAAAGAATTCTTCGTCTTCCACCACAGTTGTTTTCTGTGGTCTTCCGGGACTTTTGGTGTTGCTGAGCTCACCGGTGCGTTCCTTCTTTTTAAGAATGTTCCAGACAGTTGTTTTGGCCACGCCTAATGGCTTTGCTATCTCTCTGATGGGTTTGTTTTGTTTTTTCAGCCTAATGATGGCTTGCTTCACTGATAGTGACAGCTCTTTGGATCTCATCTTGAGAGTTGACAGCAAAACATTCCAAATGCAAATAGCACACTTGAAATGAACTCTGGACCTTTTATCTGCTCATTGTAATTGGGATAATGAGGGATTAACACACACCCGGCCATAGAACAGCTGAGAAGCCAATTGTCCCATTACTTTTGGTCCCTTAATAAGTGGGAGGCACATATGCAAACTGTTGTAATTCCTACACCGTTCACCTGATTTGGATGTAAATACCCTCAAATTAAAGCTGACAGTCTGCAGTTAAAGCACATCTTGTTCGTTTCATTTCAAATCCATTGTGGTGGTGTATAGAGCCAAAAACGTTAGAATTGTGTCGATGTCCCAATATTTATGGACCTGACTGTATAGGGGAGGATCTCCTCTCCGATTGGTTGGCCAGTGTCCATTCACCTATAGGTAGCCTATAACCCACAGTCATGAATAGCCTGCTCTGTGTCCAGTGATGTATAACAAAACTGCTCCATAAATACAGTGGGACATAAAAATACCCACCATTTTATTCTCTAGGGCTTCTGCATGTACCCAGACACCTGGACTGGCTAAGCTGGTCAACAACAATGTGGTGTGTCCCTTCCAGACATGGCCTTCCCCAGTCTCAGAGGAGAAAGGGAACCAAGCCGCTTTCTTCCCATACCGAGGAGGGGTCCTGGAGGACAATCTCGCATAGAGAGCTGCTAGCAGTGGAGCCAGGTAGATAAAGTAGTGGGTGGAAGAAAAAAGGATAGCCAAGGAAACAAAGTCCTCCCTCACCCAGGTTCCAGATGATTCGTCTCCTGACGTGACCAGTTCAGCAGAAGGATTTCCATTTAACGTGTATTTAGTGATGCATTTACTGTTCCTGCTGGGAGGAGGTGTCCTGGAACTCGAATTTGAGAAATATGCACTTAGTATTTAGTTCTAAAGTAGCCTGAAAAGCATCGCACCGGCTCCTTCAGACAATTTCTGCAGCTGTCGGCCCGTACCGAGGAGCAGACCTTCAGTTGCAGTGCTTTAGAAGTTTTGGTGAACTAGTGTTTCATTGAGAACTAGAAGTCCCTGTGCTGCAATTGCAGATGAAACTCGTGTGCTGCTGTCAGAATATAATCACCTGCTAGAGAGGAGTGGGGTTAACATGGAATTGGCCCTTACTAGAACTCCAGGACAAACTGATGATCCAGGCCTGATTGTAGAAAGGTTAGATTTCATTCCATGTATTATTATCTGGGATGAAAGTTTCTTTCCTTGCACCAAATGAACTATGCCTTTCCAGGTGTGATGGCACTTATGGACTGACTGCAGGAAAGTTACAAATGACCAGATCATTGTAGGCAGCAGCAAGGACTGTCTGCAGTGAAACCCTGTGCCCCTATGATGAGATGCATTGACAAGAAGGTGCTGCCTCATGCAGAATGGTGCGAAAAGAGCACAGAATGTGTGCTTGCATGACACTGAACCTAAAGACACAGCAATCAATTCCTCAGCATTCTAACCCTTTTCCACAAAGATCAATGAAAAAGATAAAAAAAAAAAAAAGAAGTGTAATAATGGCTCTGTGGCTAAAAAACAGTACACAGTAGTGTACAAGTAGAACCCAGTGCCCGAAGGTCACATTCCAAGTAAGATCGAAGAGAAAAGATTTCCATTCCCCAGGACACTAGCTAAAAAACTAAAAGGCATGTTGGAGCGAGGCTGTCCCTGTTTTTTTTGCCAGTGCAGGTGTAGTAGGTAGGTAGACCTTAGGTGGATAGTATAACCCAATATCTCTGAACCTATGTTCCAAAATGGAAAAACAAAAAAAAAAAAAAAAAAAAAAACTTGTTTACAGACCCAAGAACAGAAACTTTTTGGAAGAGAATTCACTTTTGTTTCCATGAATTCCCCCCCCCCCCCCCAGTCTTACTCAGATTTCCCTCTCACTTCCTATTGGGTCTCTAGGACAGAAGTGAATAAAAAGAAATCTACCCAATGGCAAACAGCAAGACACTGAAAAATACCAGACAGAGGTAGTGTGACCTTCAAATTTTTACACGTTTGCTTGCCATACTGAAACTATGGACAAACTTTGTGGAATCAGTCAGTGAAGACTACCTGACACAAAACCAGTAATCCTTATCCGTGCTACTTTTGTGGCTCTTTCTCTCCATAAAATTATTTCTACTGTCTCAAATATATTAAAAATGAATTTTAAAAAAAGGAATTGAAGCTTGTTGCATGTCACTCACTACAGATGGAGCTTTAATTGGATTCTGTTACAAAACATATTTTGACAACTTATAGGCTCTGAAGGCAGCAAGTTATCAACTGACTTGTGAGCCCATACTGGAACAAGCGCAGTGATAAAGGTGAATATAGTTTGGCTTTACTATCTCAGAAAGTAGTCAGCAGCTTATGAGCTAGAGAACGGTTTGCTCCCATCAGAGCTAAACTTAATGGAATTTTTGCTTTGTGGCAGTGTCCCTTTAAATTACAATTAGATGCCAGAATTCAAAGATTTCTCTCATTTTAGTGTAAGTGTTATTGAATAACCAAGTGATTAATATAATGCTTAGTGTCATCACAAATGAATGTAGTAAACACGCACAAGACAGAGAATAATGATAAATGTAATATTCGTATGGAAAAACCTGAAGCGCTATAAAACATACTGAAGTAAGAAGAAATACCTAAAGTGTTACTGAACCCAGGACCCTTCATTCACTATATCTGGTCTCCCACAGTAAACACAACATGGAAAGTGCAATTAATTTATAGTAAATATAACTGCTGAATACCTTTTCTCATCAACAGAGCAGTACTTGTGAACTTTCAGCAGAGCACTGTTTAAAGCTTGTATGGAGGAGTATTTCTTTCTGCTCTAGGAGGATTGTAAAACCACTGACCTGTCTGGACAGTGCTGATTAGCCCTGTGCTGAGAAACACATGGCATCTCCCAAAAAAAAACAAAAAAAAAACCAAAAAACAAAAAAAAAACCAAAACACCTCTCTAGTAATAATACACTAAAACTGAGCACAATGCAGAAGGTCTATGGGTTCATCTCTCTCATCAGCGTGGACGAACTAACAAGAGGGGCAGAGAAGCCAGGATCCAGAAACAGCCTTTACACAATGCAGAGGATTACCTAAACTATGTTCCACAGTGAGTATAACAAGCATGCTTTACCGGCATATACGGACTGATTTTCATAACCATGTTGTGGGTAACACTTTAATACTATACAAAGTCATAAGCGAATAACAGTAAAAAATGTTCCTAGTATTAAATATTGTAGACAATTAGGTTCCAGGTTGTAATTACTTTGTGTTGAAAAAATCAAACACAATGTGAGATTTTTTGGAAGAACTTGGATATGTATTAGGGCTTCCAACATTTGACAGCCGCAAACAGCTGGTGTAAACAGCAATGTTGTATGCTCCTAACCCATTTCTCTTTTTTGCAGATTTGATTTTCTTGAATGTTTTATTCACATCCAATCAGCTTTACTGGAAAAGAGTTGGTATTAGCTCAAATTAATCCTTTACAAGAATAAGGAAGACAAGATGATAGTGTAATAAAATTATATAAATTACATTTTTAAAGTAAGTAATTTTAGAAAGTCTGTTCTGTACTCTAAAAGCTGACATTGTATAACCGAACAATGTCCTTGCTCAAATGATCTATTTTTCATAACCAGCATATACTATGTAGAGACAGATTAACAGATCAGAAAAAAAGGTTTGTTGTAAGAAAAACAGATGTAAAAAACATTTGTTTTAAAATTTACTTAACTGTAGGCAACCATCTGCAGGTCCCTCCTAGAAGCATTGAATCTGAAATTACAATGGAGTTGCCCCCATTATTAAAATGTGGGTTGTCTCTCCTTCCAGAAACAGCAAATGCCACAATCCTTTTTTTGGATCCTGGGCAACAAATTTAGAGATTTTTATTCATTTAGCATGGGCATGATTGAGGACCAAAGAAAGGTTATATAAACCATTAAACAAGTCAACATAATTCCCACCAATTGTACATGCCACAGAAAAGCCTGTAACTAAACTGAAGTCTCACAATGAAAAAAAAAAAAAAAGTAACTGCTTACTTAACGGTTGTCACATAGATCCACACAGTAAAAACACAGCGTTCCCCCCCCCCATCAGGGCTAATGGCAGTGCTGGCTTTAGCAAAGAGCTTCACACTGCTTATTTTGTTTTTTCTCGAACCTGTATTTAAAGAAATCAGATACTTTATCCATGTTACTGCACAATGGCGCTGGTGCAATGCACTGCTGTATGACATGCATGCAATACAGTAGGTGCTGTGTAAAAAATGCAGACATCCCAGGATTCTAACAGCAAACTCACAGCACACAACAGCATGGACGGCATGAGCAGGCACATAGAACAACAACTGTTTACTGCCGTCCTAGCAGTGACCTGTGCTTATCCAATGTGGAAAAAAAAAAAAAAAGCAGGCCCACCACTGATAGTGTGAAAAAGAAAACTAAATATGACCTACTTTAAAAACAACCTTTATTATTGTTCTAACTTCATAAAACAACATGGTGAGTTTTGGTTTGCCAAGTGGGGCGGCACAGTGGCTTAGTGGTTAGCACTTCCGCCTGGCAGTACTAGGGTCGTTGGTTCAAATCCCCAACCATGGCACCACCTGCCTGGAGTTTGCATGTTCTCCTGTGCCTGCATGGGGTTTTCCCTCCGGGTACTCCGGTTTCCTGCCACACTCCAAAGACATGCAGGTAGGTTAATTGGATCCTGTATAAATTGCCCATAGTATGTGTATGTATGAATGTTGAGTTAGGGACCTTAGATTGTACACCCCTTTGAGGGTTAGGGACTGATGTGAATGTACAATATATCTATGTAAAGCACTGTGTAAAATTAACAGCGTTATACAAGTACCTGAAATAAATAAAATAAGTACAATCAATTTACAATAAATCAAACCTAATTTATTAAAATTGACCTTGGTTTCATGGGTCTGGTTTGCTCGCAAAATTTATAAGAGGAATGTATGGTAGTTTTTGTACATATATCAATTTCAGGGACCAAAAATATAAAAAAGGGATTAACTAAATCCTTCCCAGTTACTTAATGAATGAAATATTGTATTTGAGTATAATGCAGTCTTTCTTCTATCCAGCCAGCAGTTGGCGATCTGGACTGCTTTTCTCTAATTTGCTCTATTTTTCTAACAAGTGTTGAAAAAAAAAGCTTGTTTACAGTGAGCAATGGCATAAAAAGACTGTCATATTGCCCATGGCAGTGCAAGGAGGCAGTGTCACAGAGCAGGGCATCCCCAATCCTATACAGTCACCTTTCCTATGCTCTGGAGCGGATATCAGCTATGTTCGTAACCCTGGAAAGCAGTGATTTTTGCTAAAAGTCATATAGAAAATATAAATTTTTCAACATGTGACATTTAGGAAGCAATCCTTTGGGCTTAATCTACCAACCAGCGCAAATTATTTAAATTAGCACAATATGAAAATATCCTTATGGAAAACAGAGGTGGGAATCACTAGGACTTGATCAAAGCCAACAAACTTGCCATAATCTGTTCGATTGCTAATGACAACTAAGTAGAGCATCTAGGAATTCAAAGAAATCATGACACAATCAAATATATTACAAACATGAATTATATATAAAATATAAAAAATCTTTTTAAAAAAATCCCAAAAATGTAACATATGCTGACTAGTTGTGACCTTTGCCCTTGCATCACTGACAGCACAGCTATAAATTATAGTATTAATGGAGCGCTTGAAAATGATAGTCAGCTGACCTTTTTCCCCTGGCAAAACCCATGATCTGCACATCAGGACGGGCACTCTGCTTTGGTCTTGATTGTCATTAAATTGCACATTTTTGAAGCAATGAGAGTGTAACAGCATACGCCCCATTCTCCCCACTCAGTCTGGGGTTCATCAGAACTCATTATCATTTCATCAAGAGCATTTTTAAAAACCAGAAAAAAAAAAAATGGATAATCCTGCCCTAACTCACCACCTCATCTATGCCAGAAGGAGGGCAGTCCCAAAGGTTATCAAGTGAACAGTCTGAAGGATTAAATGGGCAGTGATGGAAACAATTTAAAGTATTTTTGTTGCGAAACACAAACGTGCACACTGTTACCAATTCTTTTATTACCATCACAGACATGTACTTTGTTTTTTACAACATGTAGGGGTATTGTTTTACATAAAATGGGAAAGCAAAAATAGTTTTTTCTTAAATACTATAATCAATTTAAATAAGAAATGCTGTGTCATATCAAGTGAATGGGCTGCCCTAATAGACAACAAGGTGAAAATGCTCCAAAAAACACCAAAACAAATGCATGTGGAATTGTGAGTTTTCTCTAGGCGGGAGAAGTCAAATGGGGACTGAGACAACTGAGTGTCTCCATCCACTCCCTCCTATGTGCCTATATAAAGATGGCCATAATATTTTGCAATCTGATTGTACTATGTTCCTTTAGATTTACTAGAACTATAGGAGATTGTTACTATCATACTGTATAGAAAGTTGGCGGAAGGTAGTATTGTAATGAGGGAGGTGTGGTCCATTGTGGTTGAAACAACCCTACACACACACCTCCTCTGTGATGCAACAAGGAAATGAGGCTTCTGGAAGGTGGTCTTCAGGAAGTGAATGCTGAGCAGATGATCTACAGGAAGTGATGAATCTGAAAAATCAGTTACAAAATTCAAATAAAAACCTGACCAAAAAAAATTAAATCTCTTGTGGAGAAGGTTAAGTGAGAGAAAAAGCACACTGGATGGATAGGGCCAGAAAATGGCATTGGAAAAATGCTCATATTTACTATTAAAAGTGAAATTCTGCCAAAAAAGGTAAAAAAGCTTCAGGGTGCTTCTCCCCCCACCCCTCCCCCCCCACCTAGCTCTCCTTATAACTTACCTGAACCTGATCCTGATCCAGCAATATGCACGAGAGCAGTGTATCTCACTCCTCTCATTGATCAGAGGCAGCAGTGGGATCCATTGACCCATGCTGCTGTCATTCACAGCCAGTAAGGAGGGATCAAGGGGTGAGGCCAAGCCTCACTCTAATATGTCAGTGAGTGCCCCATAGCAAGCCAGTGGAGGACCAGAGAAGAGGAGGATCGGGGCTGCTCTGTGTAAAACAATTACACAGAGCTGGTAAGTATGACATGTTTACTATTGAAAAAAAATTAAATCCAAAGCTTTAATAATACCATTTAATGTTGAGAAAGTTTACTTACACTTTAAAGAAGGGAAAGCGCACTGTTAAGCACTGTCAAGAGCAAGCAGGAATATGTTGTTCAGCAATCATTATATAGCAAGAACACATTGAAAATCACTTACAGCAATACGTGTTGATTAATGACATGTGTTTGTAAAGGTCTCTATCCTATTCACTAAGAGACTAAAGGTCAACATATCAGTACAATATTGTTAAAATTAAAGAGAAAAGGATAGCGCACACACACACAAGAAATATATTTAGAGATTTACCTTGTGTAACGTGACAGTGTACTGTTCCCATACTGTGTCCTCTAATCCAAATCCCTGTTAAAAGAAAAAAAAATATATATAAAAACATGAAAATCAGAGAGCAAGGTCATAGTAATGTACCCTGAGCACTGCGACGTTCCCGTGTGAAAATGGCCCTGTTTAATGTTGTGTTCTTTGTCCTTAAAAGTTGCTTGGAGTTTTAATCATGCAGTTTCTGTGGAATATTTCTTTGAGAAAACATGTGGAGACACAAACTTGGACTATTAAAATGAACGTTCGCACTGTTTTTTTAGGATGTCATGTGATGTGTTCTCGTATTTACTGGATTTAACAAGTAGGCTACATTTTCTCAGCTGCATTCCTTCAAAATTCCAGTATTTGCACTTGCGCTACTCACTTATTAACATGATACCACAAAGCTTGGATTTCAGGACAGACTAGATCATCTCATTGTTGGGATGTATGTTTGTTGTTTTTTTACTCATATAACTTAACCTCCCTAGCGGTAGGATTATTTCAGATTTTTTGGTGCTGAAAGCGGTACCATTTTTTTTGCATGGAAATATGTATTTTTTTTTATTGTAGCCTGTCATTTAGGAATAACTCACTGAAATCTGTCCGAACAAGAGTCTAGTAAACATTCCGGATATGATAAAACTTAACACAAAATCATAAATTATAATTTAATAAATAATCAAAAAATAATAATAATAATAAATTTAATTTATATAATCAAACCAAAAACACTGAAATTTTAAATATAGCGCCAAGTTCGCACATCACTGAGCAAAGTTGCAAAATCGTTTTCAGTGTCTGATGCCGAATTTCCCCACGAATCATTATCACTCAATTCTGCAAGTGGTTCTAATTTACTATCGCTGTTCTCTAGCTGGTCTAAAACCGCTTTTGACATAAAAAGGGACGCTTTTTGGACGCCATGGACTTTTCTCAGTTTTCCAGGCAGAAAGAACAGTCAAAATGCAGGCAGGGCACAGGACAAAGCAGTAGGGACAAAATGTATGTGAAATGTTTTGAAACAGCAATGTTTTACTATGTAATAATCATTTAAAAAAAAAATGACATTTTGAATGAAATTTGCCGCCGGTTCCGGCGCCCATACGTCCCGACGTCACAGGGACCGGAACACGGAAGCCGGCATCGGCATCATCCGATTTTCCACAAAGGTGCATATCATGATGTAACCAACAGTATTACCTACTATTAACGTAGTGCAGTAGAAGAGGAAGTGTAGGTCTGTTCCTTGCTTTTGGTCATGCACTTTTTTCTAGTTGATTATTTTCCTTTGATTAGTGTACACATTAAATGAAAATTAAACTGTGTGTTCACATACAATAAAAAAAAAAAAAAAAAGTCTAAAATTGCACCCTTCCTTTTTGTCATCCAAAAAGTTGAAATCGTACTATACTTACGATCAGATCATCAGCTGATCATTCCTCATATAGAAATTTTCGTACGATTTTCTTATTGTGTGTACAGGCCATAGAAGTGAAAGTGGTTTTTGGTCAGTAAAATCCATTTATTCCAAGATCAAATGTTAAAAGGCACACAATCTTTTGAACGACAAATGTTCTGAGAATTTTCATGAGACTTTTCCTAAGAATTTTCATTCTGAATTCTAGCCATCAATGGCAAACTGTAAACCTCACAGCTTTGTAAAGAATTCTAAATACAGTATATACACACACACCTTACTACTTGTGTACATGTACCCAGCACCATTCAAGTTCTCAAACCTATGCTAAAGACTTATGTAAGAGGTCTTACAATGGTAAGACCTTGTGCTGATGGCTTTTGCATTCCAATACCAATAGGAATGTAAAACCCACTTCAAGCAGGTGAAATGCAGAGAAAAAAGAAGGAGGAGATCAATTGCAGGTCAGATGCACCAGTCAATGAATTCTGAATGATCTCAGAAGCATCTCAAACTGGTGTCATCCACAAACAAGCCCTCCTTGCCACATACCTCCAAAAATCGATTTAGACCATTTGCCAGTTCTTCACTGCCATTTTGCCAAGTTTTTCAAATTTGCCATACGGAAATGCATGCATGCTAAGCATTATTCTTCAACGGAAAAACCAGGCTGAAGGAGGTTTCTTCATATGTATAATACAGACAATGTTACATTTACTGGCACCAGCTGTGGTTAAGAGCCCATTCATACCAGATGCAGAGGGATCTGCTTTTCAGCACATTCCCACTGCATAGATATTTCAAAATTAATGTTCACTAATGAGCCCAGTTCACACTATTGCACTGTGTTGCAGTGCAATGAAAAAAGTAAAGAAAGATGCATTTTCTTGCAACACAAACTCATGTAAATGTATTATCAGGAACAAAAAACAAGTTTAACTCATTTATCACCTGTCCTTCCCCATACAACAAAAAAAAAAAAAAACAAATTGAAAAATATGCACTGCAACCACATGTAAATGCATGCAAAATGCACAGTGTCTGGTATAAACTAGGCTCTTAATGTATAATGTCAAATAATTTTATCAATGAATATTTTGGAGACTCACACACTTTACTTCTCATTCATCACACCACCCAACTCGAGATTTTAGCGTAACATTTTTTGTTTGAGCACTGAGGGTAAAGGCTGGTGTGTGAACTGACAGAAAATTACATAATTTTCACAAAAGACAAAAGGACCATTGCCACCAAATATGGTTGAATGTGCCTGGATCCAGGTGGTGCCTTTCCTGTTGTGTGTTTTTTGTTTTATTTATCATGGATAATGCAGGTGTAATAAACAGGAAAACACAACGCTGGGTGGGAAAACCCAAAATGCACAGGAACAGATCCAGAGAGATTAGAAAGGTAGACATCATGGCTGAAGCCATGTTGGATGTAAAAAGACAAAAGATGACTCCTGTCAGCCTCTACCTATAGTTAAAATATCAGTTTTGAGTGAATAATCCCTTTCAGTAAGCTAGAACTTTATTCGTTAATTGGTTCTCCTTTATAGATATTTGTGGTCTACCATACATGCATAATTTAGTGGCCTTTAGGTATCCCAGATAACTGGTTTTGCTTAGATGAGTATTTGCATTAAAATTCCTATGCAGAGAGTAGCGGGAAAATGAAGCAGGCAGCCACATCAACAATCCGCACAGATTTCTAAAATGTTCCCACCCAAAGAAAAATGGCCAGATCAGGTTGCGGTTTCTCATGTCTGTGAGAAGCTTATGTCATGTTACAGGTATACTTTACAAGGCAGTGCATACTTCTCTACTAGAAAACTGAACTAATTGGTAAGAGAGCAAATCATAACACTCAACATGTAGGAAATTCAGAAAAGCTACTTCACCCCTAGAATATATATATATATATATATATATATATATAGTTTAACCTATCACCCATTCAAATTTAATAATAGATAAGCAGCAGAAATATCCACTCCATATAGCAAGTTAATATTTAGATTAGTGGGTATCAACTTACTTCATATAAAAGGAACTTTGAATGCAGACTCTGGCAATACCAAAGCACTACACGACAATATGTATTTCAACATGAAACAGTCAGAGAGTGCTGGCATGCTTCAGGAGCTGAACAAGGAAGTGCAGGCATGGTAAGAGACTGCTGGCACCCTATGGTAGATGGCCAGAGACTGCAAGCCTGCTCCTGGAGATGGTCAGAGACTGAGCATGCTAAAGCAAAATTGTTAAATGGCTGGCATGCTATAGTAAATTGACAGGCTGCCAGCATGCTACAGCAGATGGCCAGGGACTGCAGATATGCTGCAGGAGAGTCTCAGACAAGGAACATTGCAAGAGACTTCAAGAGATCACTGACATTACAGTACCTATACCAAAATGAATACCAACCAGGGGCGGACTGACCATTTGGAAACTCAGGCACTGCCCGAGAGCCCAGGGTCAGTAGGGGGCCCCATGAGATGCCCCTGGTACCTTTTTGATAGGCTTTTTTGAGTTTGGGCAAGGACACAGGCCCCATGAGTTGTCAGTCCGCCCCTGATACCAACACACATTCTGCTCATCAAAACCTAATATAAAAGTCCTAAGAAAATACAGGCATATAACAAGGTAATAAAGTACGAAATAGGTAATACCAAAGCAAATATCAAGCAGAAGCCACGCTAATATATGTCTTTCCCAGGCCCTGGGTAAGAATCTAAGCAAGGAACATTAACTACTACAAGCTGGGGCCCAAGGGCTAAATGGCTGTTTGAACACCACAGTTTTAGGTCTTTAATTAGAAGTGTATCTCTCTTGTAATGGATAAATCACATTTGACTACAAAGAGTGAAAAACAGTACCCTTACCATACATATAAAAAACATTTTTTTAACTGACCTTACAACTTCCTGTGAAAATAAAAATATAAATAAAAAGGAAAAACTGATACATTAAGTAGACTTGCCAAATTGAAATATAATAAATGTCTTAGATAATGAAACACGAAAAGTCATTCCCAAATTCCTGGGATGCATGCCCTCTTACTCAGAGCAACTCCCAGGCCTTATGTTTTTAAAGGAAGCAGCTGTGATGGCCGAAATAACACACTCAGGTGTATAGATTGCACATTTCAGGAAACCATTTAATTAAAACTTCTTACTCTGGAGGAAGAAAAAACACAAAAGGATGACCCATTCTGAACTGTCAAAAATAATCTGCTTACCCATATTAAAAATGACTCTAGTCACTAACTCCCATTCCCAAAATTGTGTTTTGGTTTTTTTTTTTTTTGTTTTTTTTAACTAAAATCATCTAAAACAATTTATTTTCTTTGAACCAGTTTAAAGTAGGTCTACTAAAAATGTACACTCTTCTAGTTGTTGATTTTCTTAATTCCTTTCTTGTGTTACTCACAGACTTCATTAGCAATATATTCCCAATTTGTCTACACCTCTATATCCTCTAACCTTAGGGCTTATTCTCACTAGCCACTACGTTAAAACACAGCGATGGTATGCCAGTGCTGCCCAGCACGATCTCCGCAGTAGTGATTGCACGGTTAAGGTTTTTTTTTTTTTTTTTAAATGAACTTTAGGCTTCATGCACACTGGGCA